CAGGCAGAGCCAGGCCCAGGCAGAGCCTGCACCGCACTGCGCTGCGGATGGGCAACACACAGCCACTCTGCAAACCTCGGCAGAGGTCTCTAAAATGTTTGCAAAGCATTCCAACAAAAGGAGAATTACTTAACCTGGCTAGACAGCAGCATGGGAAAGATTGTGGGACTGACTTGGCAAAGAGTTCAAGTTAACTCTTCACATAAATCAAGCTGAGTGCTAAGCACAAAGGGTGCCCCAAAGCACGCAGGGCAAGCTGGGAAGCACAAAGAACCAGAGCAAAACACTGGACTACATATGAAAACTGAATTCTTACAAGAAAGTGAGCAGTGCAGCCCAGTCCAACAAAAGGGAAAGTCATCTGCTTATCTCCCAGCACACCTGGTGCCTCGCTGGTTTTGACAGGATTATCCTTGCCTTTCCCTTACAGCACACACTTGAGCAGAGCTCTGCCACAGGTCACAGTGCCTTGGGGGATCATCTCCCACCTGCAGGGCCACTTAGGAATGATTTGGCAATTTAAAAATAACATATAATACATCTAGCTATTTGTTAATTATTTATTTCCAATTTGGTTAGAAAATGGGCATTTTGTCACTTTCAACATTTTTGTAATATTAACAAATAAACCAAGTTTTTTTGCTTCCCATTAGGGATAAAGATACCTTGAATTAGGACAAAACCCCCTTACAAAACAGAGGATTTTCCTCTTCTCTAAACTACTTAAAGATGTATTATTTGAGTGCACAGTATATTACAAATTTCCTCCCTCTTGCAATGGAAGTATTTGGATAAGATTTGCTATTTGACAAGAACTGCAACTCAAAAGTGGACAATTTCAAGGAAGGAAAAGTTTTTACATCTCACAAAGGATGTATTTTTGACGCTTTTTAATTTTTCTCCTTTTTTGGAGCTTGTATTTTTGCTTAAATTCAGCCTTCTGGACAGACCCTGACCTTTTTTTTATGCAAATAAGGGCAAAATTTTGAACATACCAGAGTCCTCGTTTGGTTCCATTTTCACTTTAATAGGAAGACAACTAAAAAAATAAACAAATCAAGCAGATTGACATCATAAAAAACAAACATCACAGTTCTGGGAAGTTCTTCAAGCTTTAGAGCTTGTCAATTTAAATCAGTCTCCCCAGATTTTTTCCAACAAGACCACAAAAGTAAAAAAACCCTGCACCTTGGCTGATTGTATTTACCTCAAGGAATTGCTGGGAATCTCCTACCCCTATATTTTTAAGGCACACAAAATATTCAAACCATGTTAAGCATTTAATGAGAAGCAAGTGCAGAAGCACAGAAAACTGATCCCTGTTTTAACGTTACCTAATTTTTTATGTATTCCAGATATAATATCTTCATTTACTAACAAAAAAAATTATTCCAATTTTTTTCAAATTGGGAGGGGGAAGGAAGCAACATTCCATGTGTTCCCCCCCACTGCTGCACTGTAAAACATGACAAACTTATCCCTCACTGACAGACTAAATTAAGAACACTCATTGGGATAACTAAACCAAGGAGAAATTTTGCCATCTGTTTAACCTGTAACTGTTTCCCCATAAATAACCATCAAAAGAACAAGAAAATTCAGCTTCATGCTTTTTATAATGCCAAGCAAAAGTTATCCAAAGGTCAGCTGGACAGAAGAAGCACATTAAGAGAAAGATAAACCACATGAAAAACATAGTTGATACAAAACAAAAAAAAAAAGACATTATTTTAAATTCACCTTCCACCTGGAAGTATAACGGAATGCGAAGGATCTGTCATATGAGCTCCTGGAAGTGAAAAGAAAATCTTTGAACTTCTCGTACTCCATTTACTTTAAATACAAATTGAAAATGTAACATGAATTCCACAAAGCAAAAATCTGCTCACATTTTACAATCGTAAGTGCATATTTCTTGTATTCACAAATAATAAGGGAAAGACCTTGCTAAACTGCTTCATTAATATATAAAGCAACACCAAGATAAATTACTTCCAAGTAATGGAAGTAATTTCACTGCTCTCTTTCATGATGTTAAGTGAAAATCTTGGGAAACAAAGGTAAACAAACCTTTCACCTAAACTCTGCTAAAAGAAAAAATAAGTTTCATGCAGTTTCATCTTAGTCCTAAAGTACAGCTAGACACATACAGGTTATATTTTTAGAGTGTCATTTACCACATTGAACACCTGGCTTGCATTTTCAGTAGAACTCTGTAATTATCAGAATCCCTGTAATTTCCCATTCTCTAGTCTTCTAACCGAGCACAGGCAAAACATTTCGAATTTTACTAATCAAGCATCAACTTCTGGTTCTTTCACCTAAGAAATTAAACTTTTCTTTTTTGACTACATTCCTATAGAGATTGCTTCATCCTTTTCATAAAAGCAGATCCTCACATAGATGCATTTAGCAAGTAAAACAACAAGATCCCATGAAAGGAACAGGAGAAGGGATTTCTCCTTAGCTAGAAATGATATAAAGTTTTACAAAACTCACTCTACATCAGATTTTTTTAATACGTAGAGGCTTTCACAGGAACTACAACACCTAGCCACTCCAGATTAATTTAAAACATAAGATATAAATGCCAAAATCATGTTTGCAGTGGAAAACAAGCCTGGCAAAGTCTTGGCATCTTCTAAAAATGCAATGCAGTCCTTCATCAGTTCATTTCTCCTTTCCCTAGGATACCACTCAATTCACATTAAATTTAAATTCAGTAGAAGGATGAAGAATGAAACAGAATAATCTCTAATGAGTTGCTCCAGGCAGAAGGCATAAAAGAAAAGGTTATAGCTCCATAAGTAAAGCAACTCAAGAGTCAACATGATCAAATCTATCTATATTGCTATCTAAACTCAAATTCCAATCTGTTTCTGTTTAGTCTGAGTAAGGAGTAACTTACCTGTATGTTTCTTTGGCTCTAAGAAAGGCCTGTGTGGAAATACGGAAAGAAAAACTCACAGCTTTAGCAAAGACATTGTTAATCAACGTGGCTGTATAACATTACAGAGAGCATTCCTGTTTCAGAGAAACAGTCTGCAATGTAGTTAATTAAAAATTAAAAGCAATTAGACCTAATTTAAGTACAAAACCAACGTGGACAGATGAGCAAAAGAGAGAGCAAACAACCTTTTGATAATAAAAGAGATCCCTGACTTGTTTTCCAATATCCATCTGAGGGTTGAAACACTGTAATTTGCTGGATGTTTAAATGCAAGTCCTTCGGGCAGGCCCTGCACTACCACAGCAGACTGGTCTCTCTGAATCTTCTCATAAGGCACAGGTACCACTGTTGACTTTCCTAAAGCTTTACCTAGAAAACAAAAAAAAGGAGATTGTTTCGAGGTCACAACTGCTCAAGTTAGCAAAATGACAAGTCCCTCATAAAACCTGGCAGAGTTTCACTGTAGAGTGAAAGCAAGGTGCCGATGCCAATCTCAGGAAACCAACTACTGCAGACATTAACGTGCACTGGAGTCCACTGAGATAGAGAGGTTTTCTTAAAAGAAAACCACTAGGGCCGTGCTCTGCTGTGCAATAATCTGACATCACATCCCACAAAACACATTAAAAAGAAAACTAAACACCATGTGTATTTTTCAGAAACAGCTACTAAAATTTTCTACAAATAGCAGCGTGGTCAGAAGGCTAAAATTGTGCAGCTTTTTCCTCGCAAAAGGAATAAAAATGTAGACATCTACAGCAACTATTCCAGATAAAGATGACTTTAAAGCACCCACCATAGCAAAAGCAGAAAAAGTCCTCCACAGACTTTCTGAGAGCTTCCAGCTCCACAATATCCACTGTTAGTCTGTTTACAGGTTGTATAGTCTTCATTTTCTGGAGCTCTGCAGCCGTGCCCTCTTCTGTAACACCTAGCAATTATTTACAAAAATAAGACAAAAATAAAACACCAAGTTATTAAAACTGCCAGTACCTAGTCCCTCCAGTTTAGACTAGAGACACTTGGGAAGGATTCCTACCAGAAAATCTTACATGCCCTAGAAGCAAGTGCACACACCTATGTACATAAGCGACAAGCACATTTCAATTTACACCAGAATTATTATATCCTTCTTATAACCTTTGCAAATATCACCCTCTGTGGATTAAGAATGATGAATTAAAAGACACATCCAGGGAGGCTTGTTTTGGCACAAAGAGGTAGAAAACACTATTAATCTCCGAAGAGGATAATAGAGTAAAAATAAAATGCAAAACTGCTCAGAAAAGAAGGACCAACAGAGTCACCAGGGAAAAGGCAAAATGTTGGTGTGGAGGGTCCCACAGCTCTCTACTGCTCTGCGTGACATCTTATGCACCAGTTCTGTTCCAGCTCGCTTTGTTTATGCCGTTTGTGCGTCACTAGAAGAGAACTGACTGCCACAGCAGCCCCTGTATCTTTCAAAAAGTACACATCTCTTACTGCCAGATAGGAGGAGTTGCAAACACACAATCATTGTGCAGAACAGAGATTTCAGCCCTACATCCTGCTCTAGTCTCTAAGCAAAAGTCATTGCAAAAGAAGTGAGGGAATAACAACCCTTTCAGCATTAAAACACAAACGAAGTGGTGGTTTCAGGTGGCAGCCTGCCCTTCCCACTGTTCAGCTCTGGCAAAGATTTACTGAGAGCTACCCAGCAAAACCAGAGGCAAACAACAGAGACATGCTGCACTCGGAAGGAAAGGCAAGGGAGACCTGTGCTTCTGTCCATGATGAGCACTGAAGCTTCGTCATGACTTCCCCATGAGCCACCACGGCAGTCCCAATTCCCCCCAGTGGCTGAGGTGGCACAGGGTAACCCCGTCGTCCTGCTGGAGCCCTCCTGCTGCAAAAGTTAACCCTGTCCTGGCCAGAATCAGGACAAGAAGAAAACATCAGTTTGAACAACTGATTACAAATGGGGTGTGAAGTAAGCTGAAACAGCAATGCGTTTAAGAAAACCACATTTATCATTTTAAAAATTCATATCTTCATTTAGGAGAGAGTTTCATCCTTCCTCTACAGATCACACATCTGCTTCATGTTCTGGAAACCCATCTCTACATGACATTTAGCTCTCCACCTTTTCAGGCCTGAAACTTCTGCTTTCTCCGCAAAATGACGGAGCCAACCATAACACAAAAATAATGCAAAAGTGGGGTATTATTTTATAGCTGTAATACAGGTGCTTAATTAGTGCCAGCTTTTAAGATTTGCATGCAGACTCTGGGATAAGAGACCAGTGTCCTGGGTTGCAGCGTGGGGGTAGCCAAGAGTATGTGTTCTATTGTTGTCTCCACAGGCTGTCAGAGCAGGTGAGGGCAGTGATTGTTACCTCCTGGTCCCAGATGGCTCCTTCAGGGGCTGTGTCCGTTTAATGGGCTGCATGGGACCCATGCATGCAATGGAGTGACATCCTCCCTTTGGGAGATGCTTCACCCCAGGGTGGGGAGCCAAGCATCCCCACATGGATATAAACTGGGGTTCAGACCAGCACAGAGCCCTTTGCCTGCTGGAGTCCCAAGGACAAGAGCTACCACTGGACCTTCAGGTGAAGACCAGACCTACAGGATTGCTGCTCCAACAGATCATCACTCCAGGAGGATGCAGCCACCATTTAATGGGACTGCTACCAACAGCCTGACTGACAGGGTGTCAGGTTGCTTTCTGACTCTGTCAGGGGTTTCTTTCTGTACTGTTGCATTTGTTGTTGTTTTGTGCTGTTTTTCCTATTAAATTGTACTTCTGACTTGGAGTCTCTCACTAGTTTGCTTTCAAACCAGCACAACCAGTTTCCATTTACAGCTATATATAATGTTGCTTTTTGGGTGCTTTATGTTCTCCCACTTAAGAAACTGATTCACTGAAAACACCTTTACCGACAGCAGCTTCTCAAAAGTGTATCCACACTTTCTAAAAATAATGAACAAACCAAAACTAAGATGACAACAGTCCCCACTTCCCATTAAAATGAAAAGCAGAGAAAGATTTCTTTCTCTTTCTTGACTAGAAGAGAAACCTTTACTGGGTTTATTTCACGACTTTTAGCTGTTTTCTTAAGCTGACATTATGCATCACCCTCCCTAATATCTCCCACTTCCGTGGGCCAATTCTAACCAAGTCTGACAAACAAAATCAAGCTTCAAACACAGCAAGATTTGTAAGAGCCCTGCACAACTGGTCAAACCCAGCAGGCACTCGCTCTCCTGGCAGCACCCACGGACACATGGCCACTTGTGCTGGAGGTTACACAACTTCACAGACTCGGCCGAAGACCTCAGCAGGATTCAGGCTACATTTGGGAGAGGATGCCTGGGACACATGCTACACCATCTGCTGGGGAAGAGGTATGGGGGGTCGTATTTACAGGGTAAATGGCTCATAAAGGGGAAACGAATGGTTATATGCTAAAAGAATAACATTCTACACCACTATGAGCACAAAAACTCAGCAGGATTACAATGACCCAACTCCTAATGATCCTCATTTTGCACTGAGCCCATATAAGCCTATGTGACTCTTATCTTCTCCTGTTACCCAAGTGTTTTGGTTATTCCGAATACCCTTCCCTCTGGGTCTGACAATCCAGCATACCACTTGGCTGGAAAAGGAACCTCCCAGCTGTCCCCAGCCTTATAAAATGGATACACTATAAAATTAATAGGCTGCTTTACAACAACAACAAAAAAAAGTCCATTTACAAAACGTTTATGATGGAACAAAAAATGGAATATTTAAAATGATGAAATTTTAATTTGGCAACTTTTTCTTCTTCGCATAGAAGTAATTAGACAGGAACATCTTGACCTCTGTATGGGCAGATGCTACGGCTTCCTGCCTTAAACAGATGGCTATAATTTGGATAGAGAGTTACAACTCTTCAGCACTTACTCCAAGGTCCACTAAAGCGTGGTCTGAGTGCAGCAGACTAAAATAGGCCATAAGTGTCTGTCTGCAAAGCACCCGACCCTGAGGTAAGGGCTGAGCCATGTTCAGAGGAGGAGACTGCACTGTTCCTGCAGAGCTCCTGTCCCACTGGGTCATGCTGTAGACAACTGACAAACCCAGCATTGCTTGCACCTCACCAAAGACTAAGAAACTGCAAAAAATCAAGCTTTAGCAGAGGAACGATTTACTTAACTGAAACTTCCTCAAAAATGTGAGCTGAAGATGAGATGCTACACAAACAACAGAGAAAAGCTGGCAGGATTCCTATCTGAAGATGATAGGGCTCAGCACTCCTCTAGCAAAAGAGCCATCAGTCCCATGACACATAAAGCATCTTACAACATCAGAAAGTTTTTAATCAAGTGGCTTCCTGGCTTTTAATCCCCCAGGAAGAGAAAGCCAAGAAGTGATTATAAGAATACGATCCATGCACAGATACTCTAAGAGGCAACTCAAGGGCAACAATTATTTGGTGACGACACTCACATACATATATGTTATCATTTGTGCTTAAGGAAAATCACTGTATGAAAATAACTATGAGCAAAGAAAGGGGGGAAGCAAATATGTGTACAGTCAAAAGCATTTTGCTTTGGTTTGTAAGGCAACCACCCAGTTCATCTGTTAGTATTTTAAGGCCATCCAGCTTTACAGTTCAGGAAATTGGACAATATCCTCAAATAAGAGAAAAGCTACCTGATAATTATCTAAGGGTCACCTAAACCACAAGAAAAGCAAATCACCTGAGGCTGAGTTTAGGAGCCTGGGAATTTCAAAAAGATCATCTGTCTACAGTAATTTTCTGTTTGTTTGCCACTCTGTGGGGAAAAAAATGGGTGTTTTCCATGGAAATGGGACTGAACATTTACAGCAAGTTTTTTAAACCAGCTGTTAACTTCATACCCCTTAGCTGGATAGGCAGAGATGGAACATGAAAGGTTTGTGGCAATCAAGCCAAGCAACACAGCTGTTAAGTTACCCAGCTCACAAATGACTCCCAAAAACCATCATGGAGCTCTGAGCTATGCAGGGCTAAAGCTAAGAGTGCTGCAAAGAAAAGGCCTCCAGACTGGCAGACAGTCTGCAACAGTCTCTGCTCCCGACACATCCATGGGGCAGAGAGGCAGATGATGGAAACAGAGGAAGCAAAATAACTTGCATTTAACTGTGTAGAAGTTTTGAAAATGCCTGTTTCTTTTCGAGAACTTGCGAAAGTGTAAAACCGACTAGTAAATGAAGGGAAACTGCCACTAAGGTAAAACTTAGGAAAAGCAGACCAATTCACCCCTAATACCATGAGAAAGGGTTTTCAAAAAAGACCATAAAAATGTACAGATATCACCCACTTCAGGTAAAGCCCTTTTACCAGCCTGGGAAGTGGGGGGGGGGGGAAGGAAAATAGTAGAGAAGAGAGGGTATAGCAGGCTGCAAGGTAAAGCTAAAAGATAGGAAAATTATTTCCATGTCTTTTACAAGTATCTAGACTATTAATGCAGAGTTCAGATAATGAACATGTATTAATATGTGAAATAGATGCATCACAGAACTACATTATTTGCATTGCAAAAGGACGGGCAGATGGGGATTGCAAGCTGAACCACAGAAGTGAGATCAAATCGAGACAGCAATGGCAAAAAAACCCTAGGTCTTACAGTAAGAAAGATGGAAATGATTGCTTTGGACTTTATTTTTATTACTTGTAACTGCAACTGTTTGATAAGTCCTAGGAATGTTATCTTTAAACTACTTCCTAACCACATGATTTCTAAGGAATAAACTGGTCAAGTCTTTAAATGCAGATGATTTCCCTCATAGCAACATTCTGAAATAAAAATAGAAAGTGACTGAACCTTAATTTGCAAACCAAAAAAGATTTAAGTTCAATTAACTGAACTGTGTTAAACCATCAAGTAGTTACAACCACAACAGAAAAACTCCCCAAAA